CCTGCGCACCACGCGTCCCACGTGTGATATTGGGGCACCTCCACGAAATAAGACGGCGCCCAGGGTCCGGTTTGTCCTTCCCGTGTCGATAGAGTCGCGTAGTCCACTGGCTTCGTGACGATGATACGCCACCATTCCATGGCGGGTCCTCGCATCAGCGACACGGCGTAACGGAGTTTTGCCGTTTCCTCCGAGACGTAATTGGTGTCGAAGAAGACATTCATCATGAACAGTCACGCTTGGACGGTAGGACCACCCCGTAAACTCGTGTCAAAGCATGGCGGACGCCGCGGCTTCAGCGGCATCGGTGACGTCAGTGTTGATTCGCCGGCCGGCACAAAAATCGTGACGCGAGTTTGACTTCTGGCTGCATTCGTCGCTTCGGGGTGTGTCGTGCCATGGTTGTTGTCTCCGTCGTGGCGGACGACGCCATCACTGGCCGCGTTCGCGGGTTGCCCCACGCTCCCATGTTGCGATGTTGGTGGTGCGAGCTGTATCGGGGTGCCAGGTTCTTGGGATTGTGCTTGCTGTATTCGTGCGATGTCATTTTGCAGTGATGTACGTTCGGCCGTAGGGGCCGCGATTTCTTCGGAGCTTTCGCGAAGTTGCTGCAGCAGTTCGTTCAAACACTTCTGCGTAAGGGTGTTGACGTTGATTTGCTCGGCCATTGCGAAGGGCCGCGGCTCAGCTTGGTCTACGCACAGTCGTGGCTGCACGCGTTTACGAGAGAACGCGAGGATAGCAGCTGCTAGGGGCTAAGGTGCGTGAGTCCCTTCCAGTGGAAAAATCAAAAGTTGGTTTCCTGGGGTGTGAAGATGTGCGGTCCGAAAAAGAAAGAGGATCTGATACCAAGTGTTACGGGTGCAATGAATCGAGGTAGCAAGAACTGCACTAAGGGTGCGTTCCCGTGGAGACACTTGTGTCTTAATCCCCTTTTTTCTGAGTCGCGTCTACACATTTTTGCAATCTCGCGTCACAAAAAATGAGTGTATTTCAAATTTGTGCGACCAGGCGAAATTTACAGCTGTCCTCATTTGATTAGATTTCAAACTTGACTGAACACCTTCTTCAACTGTCTGGTTCGGGTGGGGTTTTGACGAGCAGAACTTTTTCCCGCGCAAGATTTTTACTGCGGAATGTCCAGGTGCATTGACATTTCGAACCCCGTACAAAGTTGTTGACAGTGACGGGTCGATACACAACTCGTCCGCGACATCAGCGCGTTTCACGCTGACAAATGAAAAATACATTAAAAGTCGCACAAGGGCGACACGCGTTTGTGACATTGTACGTTATAAGCTGGTTTAATGCGTCACAAAAGGATTGAGACACAAGTGTCTCCATAGGAACGCACCCTAAGTGTCAAACGAGTACAAAATGTGAGCGAAGGCGTGAGCGAACATTTTTGCGCGAAACATGCAAACGGTAACGCGGTGCGTGCGAGCTAGCTAGTGTTATGCTGGCGGTGAGGTTCGGGCTAGTCCCGAAGCGTAGGCCGACTCGGCCGGGCCAGCAATGCGAGGTTTGGTGAAACAGTGCGCGCGAAGTCGGCGAAGCCCCGTTAGTAGTAACGAGCAAACAACGGCTGCTACTGTACGCGATGTTGTAGGGCGCGCTAAGGAATGTTGAGAAAATTCCTTACACGGTGTCCTTTAGGAAAGCGGAAATAGTGTATAGAACACATTATAGCTGCCAATGCAAAGGGTCGAGACTCCAACTAGTAGTAAAGCAATTTACTTACATCCCATATCCACTACTAGAAATTGCTGACAAACACGTATGCTAATATCTGCGCAGAAAACAATGGGTAGCTTTGGTGTGCACCAAAAGAATTCCGATCCCATGGAGAACGGGGGGGACGATGGGGGAACATAAAAGAAAAAGAAAGCTGCGATTGAATAGGCACCATATTTGTTTTCAACAAAAGCAGCCTAGGCTTCTTTCACCCGAAGAACTCTCTTTCATGTGACGTCATGCACAGCTACATTATAGTGCCGTTCTCCTCAGGTCCTCCAGCTGACAGAACAAGCCTGCTGTCAGCCCTGCTCGCTTCTCAACACCGCACTCCACCCCTTCCGCCCCGCCCTCCAGCTCAATCAGATCCTTCCAAATGGATACCTCTCTCTGGCATATGCCTCCTGCTGCTACAGCAAGAGCAGCTGCTGCAGAAGGATCAGTAACATCAGGACTACCACCAGTTACAGCAGGCGCAGCAGTTACCCCAGGAGCAGCAGCGGAGGCAAAAACCATATCAGGAAACGAAGGCTGGCAAGCCATAGGAGGAAAGTCTGTTGATGCATCTCCACCCACACATCCACACTGAGTCTCTGCGCTCCTCGCGCTGCGACAACTGTCCTGAATTGCACTTGTGCATGCGGGCTTCGACGCTTGCTGCCCATCGCTGCTCTCGCCACCCTGGGGATCATCCCTGCCGGGCAGCCCAGAAAAAAAAGAACGGGCGAATTCCAGAGCAGCTGGGGGCAGAACGCCTGGGGTTGTCCGAGGCGTCTTGTGCGGCCTCGTGTGTTGTGCTGCGAGTGCAGATGGAGACAGGGAAGGTGCGTCCATCAATGCATGATCCAACGGGGTTGGAAAGGCTGCTGCAGGAATCAGGTTCTCAATGCACTCTGCAGGAAAGCCGGGAAGCACAGGGAGCATAGGACGCATGTGTGCTGATGCAGCAGTTGAAGTAGGGTGGGGAGCAGCTGAAGCTTCTCCTGCTGATGCTGTGGGTGCAGCCCACAGCTGCTGAGGCTCCCCTGGTGCAGCGGAGCGTTGGGAGGAGGTATGGGAGGAGGGCGGGGAGTAATTGACAGAAGCAAAGGAAGCAGCGATGCTTGGCGATGCACTGCGGGAATGGTTGTGCTGAGACAGGTGGTGCTGCGATGGGTAATGCTGTGATGACACCGGTGGCATCGCTACTGTTATGCGAGATGAGGGTGAGATGGGAGCAGCGGAGTGGCAGTGGGAGGAAGGAGGGGGTATGGAGGAGGGACAGGACGTGAGAGGGTTGATCGGAGCGGTGAGGGGAGATGTGAGGGGACGGGTGGCCGAGTGGAGGGATGGCGAAAGCCTTGGGTGAAGGGAAGAATGCGGAAGACGGGGGCCTTTAGACAGACCATAGGTGTAGGGCGAGCCAGTGGAGGAGTACCCTGGGGACGCGGATGGGAGAGGCTGGGATTGGTAGGGCCGAGAGGTGGACGCGTGGCTTTTGAGACGTCTCGAAAACACCCTCATTTCATGAGAGGTGGACGCGTGGTTGGGTGCAAGGGAGGGCGCGAAGGAGAGAGGCCAGTCGAGGGCAGAGAGAGAGCTTAAAGTGGGAGTGTTGATGCTGCTGCAGTGGGCAGAAGGAGCGAGTGACAAACTCTGCAGCAGGGACTGGAAAGATAGGGTTGCCTTGAAATCAGGTGTATCTTGTGTGAACAGTGATGGCAGCTGCTCCTGCTCCTGTTGATCTTGATGCTGCTACAGCTGTTGCTGCGGTTGCTGCTTTTTTTGCTGCAGAAGCGCCTGAAGACATGATCCTGGGATTGTCGGCCTGGACAGAGCAAAGCAGGGCAGATGAGCGCAAAGGGGGAGTAAGGCAAGAGATGTGAACCAGCGTACTTGCCAGAATTCCACATCGGGAAAGCGGAAATTCAAGGTAGCAAAAACAGAGTAATCACCAGAAATCCACGAACATAACACTGAGCATGCACAGCACAAGCGAAGCAATTAGCGGCCCGCAGAAGCAGCGAGCGCACAGTTGAGGCATCAAGAGCCTCAATGCCTTGAAGCTGCGTGAGGCATGACAGGCCTTCACGCGTACAGGTGGGAGCAGCGCCGCCGATGCTGACTCCCGTGTCGTCGTCATTGCTTAGCCCCTTCGTCCCCCGATGCACGGGGTGTGCGGGGTTTGATTGCATGGTGTGTGCATCCGTGTGCGGGGTTTGATTGCATGGTGTGTGCATCCGTGTGCGGGGTTTGATTGCATGGTGTGTGCATCCGTGTGCGGGGTTTGATTGCATGGTGTGTGCATCCGTGTGCGGGGTTTGATTGCATGGTGTGTGCATCCGTGTGCGGGGTTTGATTGCATGGTGTGTGCATCCGTGTGCGGGGTTTGATTGCATGGTGTGTGCATCCGTGTGCGGGGTTTGATTGCATGGTGTGTGCATCCGTGTGCGGGGTTTGATTGCATGGTGTGTGCATCCGTGTGCGGGGTTTGATTGCATGGTGTGTGCATCCGTGGCAATCGATTCCGCGGTCGGGAACGGAATGTGGGCCAGTCGATGGGGTGCGACCGAGGCAGTGGTCTGCTGTGCCGATGCCACTCCTGCTGCTGCTGCCACTCCTGCTGCTGCTGCTGCCGCTGGTGCTGCTGTTGCTGGTGGTGGTGATGGTGCTGCTGCTGCTGCTGCTGCTGCTGCTGCGGGAGCAGGAGCGAGAGCATCAGGTGATGGATTGAAGTCAGGAGCGTGGTCAGGAGAAACATCAGATGCTACCGGGGTGTGTCGGAGACCAGGGGGGAGGAACAGCCGCATGCACTCGACCAATGATAGCCCGCCATATTGCAACGCCACGTCAGAACGGCTCCACATGTGCCTCTGTGATTGGCCGGAAGGCAGGGAAACGGCTTGGACTTACTGGAACTGTTGCTGAGCTGGCAGAGTGACGTCAGCGTGCTTCTGGGTGAACTTCCTGCAGACACAAGGGAGTATCGGGAGAGGCATGGGTTAGTTAAAGCTGTGTTCGAGCTGCTAGAGAAACCGCGCGAAACAGAACAGCATTGCGAGATGCGAAGCAAAAGTGTGGATCTTGTTAATTCAAGGCAGAAACAATGAAATTCAGCCTGCCGTGTGGTGCTCACTTTTTTAGGAAGAGGAAGCGGTTGCAGCAAATGGCATTGTGGCTTGCATGCATCCAGTGACTGAGTATATATAAGGCAACGTCCAAACAAAAGAACAGTTACACATCGGCTAAAAACTACCTGTATGCGAATGGAGAAAAAGGGCTATCAACTATATGAGATTGGTATTGTCCCCAAAGAGGTCCTCCAGCTCACAGAACGATCCCACGGTAACCCCTGCTCTCTTCTCCACACCGCACACCACCCCCTCCGCTTCGCCTTCCAGCTCAATCAGATCCTTCCAAATGGATACCTCTCCCTGACACATGCCTTCTGCTGCTGCTGCAAGAGCCGCTGCCGCTGGAGAATCAATCACATGAGTTACACGAGGAGCAGCAGTTGATGCAGTAACCATTTCAGCAAGTGAAGGTTGGCCGAGGCTTGGCAGGCTTTCCCCTGCACTGGGCACACATTGCCTCGCACTCGTGCACGTGTGCTCCCATGCTTGCTTCCCGTTCCTGCTCTCGCCTTCCTCGGGATCATCCCTGCCGGGCAGCCCGGAAAATAAAGAGCGGGCAAATTCCAGAGCAGCGGGGGGCAGCACGCCTCGGCTCGTACTAGGTGCCTTGTGCGGCCTCGCGTGTGCTGCATTCAGAGCAGATGAAGACAAGGGAGCTGCGTCCATCGATGCATGATACAACGGGGTTGGAAGGGCTGCTGCTGGTGCCATGCTTTCAGTGAGCTCTGGTGGAAGCACAGGCGGAACGGGAAGCATGGGAAGCATGCTTGCGGATGGTGCTGGTGTGGATGGGTGCGGAGCAGCTGCTGAGGCTTCTCCTGCTGACGGTGTGGATGTGGCTTGCAGCTGCTGTGATTCCATGGGCGCAGCGGTGCATTGAGAAGAGGGCTAGAAGGAGATCTGAGAGGAAGGCAGGGAGCCATCAACAGACGAGGAGGAAGCAGCGTTGCTTGGGGAGGCACTGCGGGAAGGGTAGCGCTGAGACAGGAGATGCTGAGAAGAGAATTGCTGCGATGGGTCGGAGAGTGTGGGAGGTGCTTTGGCGGGTGGAGTGTGGAGGGCTGATTGAAGAGCAGAGAGCGAGGGGAAGGAGGGGAGAGAGTGCGGTGGGCCACGGTTGATAACGGTGGAAGGGGCTGATGACACCGGTGGCGTCGCTGCTGTTATGGGAGACGTGGGTGTGAAAGGAGCAGCAGAGTGGCGGTGAGAGGAAGGAGAGGGTGTGGCGGATGGAGGAGACGTGAGTGGGCTGTGTGGAGCAATGGGGGAAGTGGTGGGGGTAGCGGTGGGGGGAGCGGCGTGGGGAGGAATGGTCGAGCCAAGGGATGGGGAAAGGCTATGGGGAAGGGCGGAATGCAGAGCGGGGAAGCTTGGAAGGAGACCAAAGGTGAAAGGCGTGCGAGAGGTGGATTGCCATGGGGACGCGGATGTGAGATGGCTGGACAGGTAGGGGTGAGTGATGGACACGTGGGTGGGTGAGAGGGAGCTTGCGAGGGAGGGTGAAAAAGAGGGTGAGAGGGAGGATGCAAAGGAGGGCGTGATGGAGGGTGTAAGGGAGGTTGCAAAGGAGAGAGGCCAGTCAAGGGCAGGGAGAGAGCCTAACGTGGGTGCGCTGCTGCAGTGGGTGGGTGGAGAGAACGAGGGATTGCGCAGGGACTGGAACGACTGAGATGGCTTGGAACTGACTAGATCCTTTGTGAGCAGTGACGGCTGCTGCTTCTGCTCCTGTTGCTCTTGATGCTCCTCCTCCTCCTGCTGCTGCTGCTGCTGCTGCCGCAGCTTTTGCTGTTGTTTTTGCTGCAGAAGTAAGGTCAGAAGCCACGATGGCGGGATTGTTGGCCTGGAAAGAGCAGAGAAGAGGAGAGAAACCGGGAAGAACTCATGAGGACCAGAGTGTACATCTGATGTGTGCTCTGCGCATGAGCAAGCGAAGCACAAAGCCCTCACCAAAAAGAGTCACGAGCTCACGCATCATAGCCTCACCTGCTATCGCACTGTTGCTGGCAGCTCTGGCTGTCGGTGGCTCGCGGACGCAGCGAGCGCACAGCCGAGACATCAGCAGCCCCGATACCCTGAAGCTGAGTGGGCGACAGGCCTTGATGATGCATGCTGGTGTGAGCGGCATCAGTGCTGCATCCCGTGGTGTCATTGCGAGGCCTCTTGGTCCCCCTATCCACGGGGTGTGAATCCGTGGCATGTGATTCTGGAAACAGACAGTGGGCCAACTGGTGAGCTGTCGCCCATGCCGATGCTGCCGTGGTGCTCGGTGGTGCTGCTGCTGCTCCTACTGCTGCTGCTATTGCATGCCCTCTCCAAGTAGTAGTACCAGCAGCAGCAGCAGGTGCTGGATTGAAGTCAGGTGAATGATCAGGTGAAACATCAGATGCTACCGGGGTGTCTCGGAGACCAGGGGGGAGGAACAGCTGCATGCACTCGACCAATGACAGCCCGCCATATTGCAGCGCCACATCAGGACGGCTCCACATGTGACGTTGTGGTTGGGCGACGAACGAGGAAACGGCCGCGCCTTGCTCAATTTGTTGCTGAGCTGGCAGTATGACGTCAGCATGCTTCTGGGTAAACTTCCTGAAAACACGGAGATTGTGAGGGAAAAGCATGGGCTGGATAAATGTGAGAGCTGTGACGAAAGTTGTGACCAATATAACAACGAATCTTGCAAGGTTAGAAGCAAAGAGTGCCACTTGTAGTCTCATCTCAAGGCAGCAACGAGCGGACTCCGACAGTAAGGCGTGTCGCGCTCACTTTTTGAGAAAGAGGAAGCAGTCAGCATGGGGCTCACTTTTTGAGAAAGAAGAAGCAATTGCACCATACATTAATAACTCACGCCTTTGCACTTCCGGGGCTCACTTTTTGAGGAAGCGTAAACGGTTGCAGCAAATGGCATTGTGGCTTGCATGCATGCAGGGCTCACTTCTTGAGGAAGAGGAAGCGGTTGCACGACTTTGCACCCCTGGGGCTCACTTCTTTAGGAAGAGGAAGCGGTTGCAGCACGCCTTGTTGCCGCGTGCGAGCTGCCTGCCTCGCACCAGCCGCCCCCACTGCCGCGTGCCGTGCCTCAGCGCGTACCGCAGCAGCACCGCGTCCTCCTGCCGGATGGAAGCAATGACGGGGATAGGCGATAGAGAGTAAGGGACGGACATTTAGCGACGAAAGGTAAGCGATTGGGGGACGCAGCAGCACCGCTTCCTCCTGAAAGATGGAAGTCATGGGGGGGGGAACAATTAACGGCTAGGACGGAGGGTGAGCGTTAGAACGTAAGAGATAGTGGGTAAGGAACAGAAGGAAAGCGAGGGCGATCGAGGAGCGGCAGAGGGTGGGCGACAGAGGGTGGGCGATAGAGGGTGGGCGATAGAGGGTGGGCGATAGAGGGTGGGCGACAGAGGGTGGGCGACAGAGGGTGGGCGACAGAGGGTGAGTGTTGGAGGGTGAGTGACGGAGGGTGAGTGACGGAGGGTGAGGACGGAGGGTGAGCGACAGAGGGATGAGCGACACAGATCGTGGATGGTACGGCATAGTAGTAAGTGAATTCGGAGCGTCCGTACCTCCATCGTCCATGGTTGCGAGGAAGGCGCGAATCGCAGAATGGGAGGCGAATCCGCCACGGGGAAAGGCTGCGAGCCTCCATGTCGCGACTCCGTTAGCTGCGACGCCATGGCCGCTGGAAGAACTGGAATTAGTGGCACACCCTGGAATTAGTGGCACACCCTGGAATTAGTGGAATTAGTGGCACACCCTGGAAGCTTGCGGCTCGTCCGTTACGATCAATGCGATCCGAGTGGGAAAGGGCAAGCGAGCCTCGAAGCAGAAACGGGTGCGCGCCAGAAGCGGCGTGATTTGGGGATCGCAGATAAATCCAAATCCTCACTGCGGCTTGCGTTAAACGAGAGAAATGGCGGTCTTTGGAGGGAAGGAAGGCACCTCGTTCGAGGGGTGTATGATCGCGAACGTGTTTCGTTGCGGCCCTGAGCTCAAACACCAGCTAGTGCTTCAAGCACCAATTGATGCTTATGGAGAATGACCAGTGGGAGGAGGGAGAATCACCGAGCTTGTGGAAGTAAAGTGGGAAGTACAGCGGCGATGAATATAGACTAAATAGTAGACAGGTCCATCGTCGACGGTGTGCAACGGGGTCCGATCCGAGAGCGAGAGAGCCTTGTGTTGGACCAGTAGCGCCAGGCATTCCACCCACCGACTGGCGTGGAGATGGGGGAGGTTGTTTTGCGGTGGAATCCCGATTCCCGAGAGGGTGACAGAAAGCGTACGAGTCATGGGCCGTGGCGGTCGAGCGAGGGAATTCGGGTCGACGACGGCGACCGCGGGAAGTGGAGAGGATGCTCGCCATCATCTTTCGCGATTCCCCCCCACCCTACACGCATGGGGGGAGACGCGCGCAACGACCACCTCCCGCATGTTTCCGTATTGCACGTCTCCTGACCCCAGCAGCGCAGACTCTAAAATCAAATCAGCGCGTTTACATGGACAGATATCAGGACACGTTCTGGCCAGGCTCAAGCTCCAATGGCTTTATTTGGAGCCGTTGCAACGCCCATGTTGGGTTCCGCGGCGGGATCGCGATTTAGATCGCGATTGAGCTTCCGAAGCAAGTCTGACGCAACTACCCAGCCTAAGAATTGAAGGCAATCATTTGCTTCCGCAGTCGTTGCCATTGGACGGGCCGATGGCTTTATTTGGCTGTTGTTTGTCATCATGCTGTCCGGCGAGATTCAAGGGGGGCGGCGCAGCGAATAAAATAATTGCCAGCTTCCGTGAGGCGCACATGCGTGTGTGTGAGTGCAGGTGCAAGGCTTTTATAAAGGCTGCCGAGCCGACGTAAGAGCTGGAGGTGGCGGAGCAAACTCGATCGTGCAGTTACGACAGGTAAGGGGGTGAAGGTGCAGAGAGGTGGTGAGAGGTAAGAGGAAAATACCTGAGGTTGGTTCCTCAAGACTGGGTGGGAAGTGCTGTCAAGGATGGTGGCAGGAGGAGCACAATGAACCCCAAGTATCCACTGGTGGTTAAGGGTGAGGAAAAGCAAATGATTTTGCAAAAACATTATCAAACGAACTGTCCAGTTATCAAAAACATTTACAGGCGTCGTGCCGAAACGGGGCGGGGGAGAAAGACAGTGGGCCAGTGGCAGAACAATAGCAATGCTGAACAGTTTGGATGGATGGATGCTTTCCTGTGAAATAGCCATCCCGTAAGTGCTTTCCTGCGAAACAGCCATTGGGTGCTAAAAAACTAACCCACCCACCTACTGTTGAAGGTGTAACATGTGGATACTATCCAACTAAATGGATACAAAGTTCTCGCTGTCCACCCACAGTCACGTATTTGCCCGAGCGAACGCATGCGAAACGCCGTTGCTCCGTTCAGTAGTACAGTTTAGTTGAGTAACTGTTATGAGAGTTTGTAACTCCCAAACGTTTGAATAATCTCAGAACCTGTTAAGGACGCGTTGAAAGTAGACAGTCAATCGTCAATCGCGATCGATATGCGGATTGGTTATCCTACCAAGTACGTTGTAACCAAGCTACAGTACGCATTTTGGCCAAAAATTCTGTGCAATGTGTGAATGCGACTGATCACTTATAGCATGAGATCTGTCAATTCTCAGGTACGGTCGTTACAGCGTTGCAGTTGCCACGTTTCGTCAATCGATTTGCACACTCGATTGTGGGGCTTGATATTTGCAGACGATCCTGCGATATTTGCACTTTCACCGATTCCTAAGGTTTCAAGCAAAATAAGTATTTTCTACATACCGTGTTTGCCTCCCACGCAAGAAGAATTACCGTCATACCCGGGGCTGACGATATCATGCTAATTACCCTGATTTCAGGGTGATTACAGGCTTCTGACTTGGTGGTCCGTGTAAACACAGGTTTTGTATTTTGTGAACTCTGATCCAATCAGACAAGCTACTTAACGGACTCTGAATTCTTGTAACTAGGCTCAGAGTAGTGTACTTGCGGACTCTGTCTATGCAGGGTATGCGTTCCGTGGACCCTGAATGCGAGGGTATTGGGACGAAGTTTCTCTGAAATTTTCTCTCGATAACCTCGCCTTCGGATTGATCGCATCGCAGCACCCCCCATGTGCGGAATCCCCCTTCCACCACTTTATCGAAACGAAACTTCTCGGAAATTTCTTCTTAATACACCCACCCACCATCGAGATCGGCCGAATCTGCAATGCCATATATATGTTGCTGTGATTGGTCGAAATGGTTGTGCTCTGACAGCGGCTGTTGTGCCAGGGCCATTTCTCTGTGATTGGGCGATTCTGTTGCTCTGTACTGTACGGCGCGAATGCACTTTGTCAACGCGAATTTGCTACAGTTTGACGCTGGTGCTGTGATGTGACCAGTCAATTCGGGTCCAAATCACCAGTCAGATACAGTGCGCAACCAGAAATCTGAAGAACGAACGGTCGTCCAATTTGATTGGTCATCAAATCCACGCAAGATCTAAATATCCGAACCATACCAAATTTCGATAATGCACAGCGCGTTACTAACTCTGATCCTGACTTCTCAACCCTGAGCAATCAGACTATAAAACTTCCCAACACTGAGCAATCAGGGTGATGTTTTTCTGAAAAATGTGCACCCATAATACAGGGGGAATTTTTTTCCCGGATTCAGGGAGGCCTAATTTGAAACGTCAGCCCTGGTCATACCCCGGATAGAAGTGCATGCCTCGGATAAGCGCCGGCGCTTATAAAAGGATGACGGTGCTTATATCCGGTCCTCGAGTATCCGGTCCTCGATTATAAGCCCACCCCCAAAAAAATATGTCGAAATACAGAAACGCATTTCACATTATTGCGGAAACGAACTACAATGTCGATTTCCCACACTCCGATCTCAGTTTTTGCGCATCTAGTCAGCATGTGTTGTTATTCTGTCAGTATGAGCTGGTAGGGAATCACTCCCTGCCAAGCTGCGCGAGAATCAGATTCGCGACCCTTTATGTTCTCGACTCGATTACAATACGCAGAACAAGATCTACAGTGGTGAAAAACAATTAGAAATTATTATTTTTCATTTTATAAGCGTCGGCGTGTATAAAATTCCTTGATTATAAGCGCACCCCTTAAAAAACAGTGTTTTTTTATACCCCCAGGGACGCTTCTATCCGGGGTATTGCGGTAAGGGCGAAGTCGGTGCGTTCATCCATCACACTGGTGCAGTTCATCCGTCGTGGTACAAAAATATCCAGACCCGTGAGAAGCAGTTTTTAACCATGACGCAACGAGAGTAACGGCACAGTATCAACTGTAAACGAAGCGCTGATGTCGCCCTGAGTTACACAAGGGCTTCAATTGTAGGTGGGCTTTTTTTCCCAGAAATTACAGCGTACACCTCATTGGTAACCTCGCTATCCTAAGCAGAACAACGGTTACAAAAATATGCCAACGAAAAAAAAACTCTCCTAGCGTAGGCACATTGATCTCTCAACCAGAGAAGATTAGCAAATACTCAGGGTTAACCCCTTATCGATGTCATGCTGGCCTACAGCAGTTTACTGTTCTCCTCTAAGAGATCCTCCAGCTCACAGAAAGAGCTCACTGCCAGCCCCGCTCTCTTCTCCACACCGCACACCACCCCTTCCGCACCGCCCTCCAGCTCAATCAGGTCATTCCAAATCGACAGCTCGCCCTGACAGATCCCTTCTGCTGCTGCTGCAAGAGCCACTGCTGCAGGAGTGTCAGCCACATCAGGGGTACCAGTCACAGCAGGCGCAGAAACTGCACCAGGCGCAGCAGCAGCAGCAGCAGCAGCAGCTGTAACCATATCAGAAAGTGAAGGTTGGCAAGCCATGGGTGGCAGTTCTTCTGTCCCTTCTTTTCCTCCACCTTCCTGCCCCACACTAGTCAGGCTTTCCTGTGCACTAGCCAGGCTTTCCTTTGCGCTAAGCAGGCATTCCCTCGCACTAGTGCACGTGCGCTCCAACATTTGCTGCCCGTCGCTGCTCTCCCCTCCCTGGGGACCATCCCTGCCGGGCAGCCCGGAAAAAAAAGAACGGGCAAATTCCAGAGCAGCGGGGGGCAACACGCCTCGGCTCATACGAGGCGCCTTGTGCGGCCTCGTGTGTACAGAGGTGTGCTGGAAGGAGGGTTGGGAGGAGGTCTGAGAGGAAGGCGGGGAGTAGTCGACAGAAGCCGAGGATGCAGCGTTGCTTGGGGAGGCACTGCGGGAAGGGTGGCGCTGAGACAGGTGGTGCTGAGACAGGTGGTTCTGAGACAGGTGGTGCTGAGACTGGTGGTGCTGAGACAGGTGGTGCTGAGACAGGTGGTGCTGAGACAGGTGGTGCTGAGACAGGCTGTGTTGAGACAGGTTGTGCTGAGATGGGTAATGCTGAGATGGGTCGGAGAGAGTGGGTGGTGCTTTGGACGGCCTATTATGGAGGGCTGACTGGAGTGCGGAGAGTGAGGGGAAGGAGGGGAGAGAGTGCGGTGGGCCACGGTTGAGAATGGTGGGAGGGTCTGACGGCACCAGTGGTGTGGCGGGTGTTATGAAAGAAGTGGGTGTGAAGGTAGCAGA